ACTCACTCTCCCTCCCTCTTTCTCATTGTATGTCTAAGCAGTCGACCCTCTGCTTTTCGTCGTGGGTGGTAAATAGCAGGGCCCACCCCTCGCCCAGGAAGGCGTCACTATGTCACACATATACGCACTCACACACACACACACACAGGGACAAACATGCACACACATTTGGCTCAATCACTCCCTCCTACCCCTCTAGGGCTGAATCTGAGAGAAGAGCAGGTCTGAACAGGTGGACAGGCAAAGCAAGCCTGCAGTCACGGCTGAGAAACAACCCACACACACACACACTCACACTCGTCCTCCTTGTCCTTTGAGTGCATTTTGTCCACCATCACGTAGCACATAGCAGAATTTATCCTCAAGGAATAACTCAGTGGAAGTGCTGCAGTTTTTACCTTCATCTCATCTATAGCTGTTAATATTGTGTCTGGGATTTACAACATGATGTACACAGTTTCTGCTTCCCCCACTGGAAATTCATCTGAAGATATTTCATAATTGAATATTTTGTTTGTTTTATATGGTTTCACTTGACTACAATAATCCTATATAATCCCTTCAGGCGCAAGAATAATAATTGTCTTTTTTTAAAATGTTGTGTGAGATTTATTTGCATTCACATCCTCAGTGTGTCTTGTAGTCTGTTCAGTGATTCTCAACCTTTTTGGTGTCAAGAACCCCCAAACTGATACACATCAGGCTGCTGACCGGTATTTGATAAGATGTAGTCATCAGGGATCCCTATCTGATGATATTTAGTTATTCCATAACTGGTCGATGTGAAGATTGTGAAACCTATGCACAGAATAGTGATCTTAGCCAATAAAATAACATAAAATAACATAAAATAGAAATATTCTATTGTTCTATGTATGTTTTTCTGGGGACTCCCTGGAACCCATTATAATAGGAAATTACAAGACATTTTCAGTAAAAATGTAACTTTATGGAGATTACAATTGTCCAAACCAGGCAACTGGGAGTGAGACTGTGTTGAACCAGGAGGAACAAAAAAGATCAGCTGATGGCCACCAGGCGTCGCCAGAAACCAAATTTTCCCAAAGCTCCGTTTTTCAGCTGGATGTAGTTACTGAGGTAATGAAAATGAAGTCTGTGCCTGCCAGGTGGGTGTCAAAAGGTAAGACACCACATAAATTGAGACCGAGTCAGGTTCCGTTTCATTTGTCGTTTGGTCTCTACGCGCAAAACAAACCTGACATCTGTTTGGAAACTGTCTAAAACCATACTGAAGCACAAATGTAAATGTTAAATGTTCCGTTCTGCTTCAGACTTTGGGTGAAGATACTGAAGACCACAGCAGAGGACTGAGCAGAACTGACCCCCGAATTCATTGACTGCCATGGTACTTGCATTGGTTTGTCTCTGTGAGCGGGTGAGGTGACAGAGAAACCCTTTCAACAACCTCTCAGGTGTGTTAGAAAGGTGTGACACCAGCCCCGTGGCTCCGTGTGAAGGTGTGAAGAAGGAGAGAAAAACCTGACTGATAATAACTGAGCTGGCTGGTGGAGCTGCCTGTCTCTAGTGGGCTCAGGGTCTCTCACTCTCTCTCTCTCTCTCTTTCTCCCACAGTCTGTATCAATCTGTCTCCGGTGCGTGAGCGCGCGCCGCAATTCTGATCGGCGCGCGGATGATGATGATGATGAGAGCGTGACCTCACTGCTTTTCTGCACAGCTGCTGGAGGAGGAGGGGGGAGACACACAGAGGGGAGAGAGAGAGAAAGCGAGAAACAGAAACACGTTGAGGGGAGACAGAGAGAGGTGGAGAACAGCGGAGCGCATTCACAACACGGGGGTAAACTGCTCTGCGCACGGGGACTGTGTCGCGGGGCGTCCGTTGCCTGCTTCCCAGAATGTTCTGTGGCCCCGGTCCATTTCTACGGTACACGAACCAGTCGCCGCGGCGTCCCCACGGACACTGAAGCCCAGATGCTCACCCTCTCCGCCGACATGGACGAGTCTTCGTCGCTGCTGGATCTGCTGGAGTGCTCGGTGTGCCTGGAGCGCCTGGACACCACGGCCAAGGTGCTTCCGTGCCAGCACACCTTCTGCCGCCGCTGCCTGGAAAACATTGTCAGCTCCCGGAACGAGCTCCGCTGCCCGGAGTGCCGCATCCTGGTGGACTGCGGGGTGGACGACCTGCCGGCGAACATCCTTCTGGTTCGCCTCCTGGACGGTATCAAGCAGCGGCCCCAGCGAGGGAGCGGAGGAGGAGGAGTAGGAGCAGGCGGCAGGCAGTCCCTGGCTGGGGGCTCGCTGCAGGGGTACGCAGCCGGGATATCCGCTTCTCCCCCGGGCAGTGCGATCAGAGAGCTGCCCGTAGCCATCAGGAGCTCCCCTGTTAAGGTTGGTTACTTTCCTGTGCCAATGTATCTCTCTCTGTCTGGAACACTTAACACCCAAACTATGTTTTAATGTTTCCACGTTTTATGAACCTTTTGTTTATTCGCACACTTCCTCTAATACGACTTCAAGATTTCCAAGTAACCCCTTTTCAATTCGGCATACACGAACCATAACAACAACTTTAAAGATTGGTTCCCACTGTACGCTGCTGCTCAGTGGGCTATAGCAGCAGGATTTGGTGGAAGAGGATTTTGAGGACCATTGTACAGCCCAATTCCCCACTGTTTATCTCTGATGTTTGCTGGAAATTGGGAACAGTGTGTTCAGCATGCTGCCTGCACAGATATCCAGCAGCTTTATGCTTATATAGATGCAAATTTATAGACTGTGCTCTGATTATTCACGCAGTGATTGCAATATGGGCTGTTTGATAACAAGGATGAGTAACAAACTTGGTAGCAGAGTCCAAGTTATGGAGCGTGGAAAACAGAGAAAGAGAAAAGAAAGACATTGCTTCTCCAGAGCAGAAGTGCATTGCTGTGGTTTTGTCATATTGTTGCTGATGACAGGAATATCTATTGATGGATGTATATTGTTATCTATTGATTGTTTTGCTCAATGATTACCAGTTGTGCTAGTGATATTCCCTGAAGTGACACTACTTAGGTTGCATAATGAGGGCGCCTTTCCTGTGTTGCCACTGAGGTATAATTAAAGTGAACCGAGTGAGCGAGAGAAGAGGAGAGACATACAGACTGAGGGGGTCACCTGTCTGTGATACCGTTGTTACCCATAGTGCTCCTGGTGAAGCCCACTGCTGCAGCAGTGTAAGGTTTCATAACCCAAGCTCAATAGGAGAGGAATGGAGAGCCTTGTTTACCTGCTATGTGATGCATTCAGTGCATTGTCTCATGGCTGAGATGTTGAGTGATGTGGCTGTAATGTGGCAATTAGACAGAAAATGTGATATCATCTCTACTTTGTCATTTGGTCTCCAACTGGAATCCAAAAACAACCTTGTGCAGTGAGATAGAAATACCCAGTTTTTCATAAAGAACCCCTGGATTTATGTGAAATTTTTAAAAGAAGAAAAAAATCTACTTGACTTCACCTCACTCACAGCTTGTCTTACTTGTTTTCCTTTAAAGAAAGACGAGATTTCCAGACTCAAAACTTCATGCTGTGACTTGTTAAGACGGATAAACTGTATTTGTCTAAGGTGAGCTTGTGTTGTGGGCTTACTGATAAATGCAATGGGATTTCTCAGAGTGGGAGTGCATGAGGGTGGTCGCGGGCAGGTGTGTTCATGTTTGCCCTCAGCGGCTTTTTTCTTTGAGTTTAAGTGATGCCCTCAATAAGAGGGACGCAATGACTTAGCAGGCTAACATAGGCATAAGCATCAGCCCACAGTACTCACCACAACAAGACTTATCAGGCAAGCTAGCCATTGATTGAAGCAGTGGAGCGCTTTGGTGTGATGAAGTGCCGTGCAGTGGGGCAGTCACTCATTCATGGCGATGAACAGGAATCCAAACTCTCTGTGACATTTCCAACACTTAACACTCCATTTCAATTCACTCAATAAACTTTATCAGTCCCTACAGGCCAATTTTGGAGAGGCATGCTGCAATATAGGCTTCTAACAATAGTAACATGTTTGGATTGAAACACATATATGGATATAAGGATATATAGAGCCTAAGTCACATTTTAAATGAGTGTGACCAATTGTTTAAAATCCAACGGGATTTAATTTAAAATGTCAAGAAACAGAGGAAAGCAGCCAGTCCTTACACTGGAGAAGCTGGAACCAGGACGTAATGAAAATTTAGTGAAATTTCAAATTGTGTGTGAAAAAAAAGTGTGTCCGAAAGAGAGTGTTGTCCCTACAGAGCGGGAGCGCATGCACAGTCGCACACATACACGCAAAAACACACAATAAATCCAAGTGCACACTCACTTCTTAGTGGTGGCCAGTCTGTGTTTGTTTTAGGACCCCATGGGGGAGCACTCCACAGTGGTTGTAACCTTTATTGCCAGTGAACACACAGACACACACACACACACTCACACACACACCTATAACCCATTACCCTCTGCAACCCCCTGCAGTCACTTTGCCTAAGTCTCCTCCAGGCTCTCTTGGGACCAAGGCATGGTGATGAAAGTGTGAATTAATCTCCTCTAACAGTGGGATGTGTGTGTGTGTGTGCGCGCGCATGTGGATGTGCACCCCCCCCCCGCACACAATGAGCAGGGGTCTTGCAAAGGGAGTTAAATCGGCCATTGAGTGACACTCTAATGCAGTACCACCACACACACACACCCACACACACACCAGCTACTGAAGGAGTCACACGGGTCAAACAGAGCACTTTACATCAGGTATTAACGGTTGTAGATGAGAATGAATGTGTTGCTATGGAAATAGAAGAAGAGGCAGACGTGCTGAGTCAGCAGCAAGACCGGCCTTTTTCCCCTGCTGTTTGTGCTCTTTCAGCTTCTGTTACCGACTTTGTGCTTTGACCAATAAGAGTTTATCAAGGCTGATCATTTCAGACAGAGGTTCGGAAGAAAATAAATTAACTTCTCAGGAGCAGTCAGTTTGCCAAGAGAGACCAGCATAATGATAATTAGCTGGCATTTAAAAAAAAAAAAAAAAGAATATTATACCACATGTGTTTAGTGGGTCAAGCATTCAAGTGCTTAGACGCTTGGTGTTTGCTGTTTTACCCCAAAGGAGAAATGTAGAGCCTGTTTAGTGGTTGATGACTTTGGCAACCCCTTAACTAGTCCCTCAGTTGCAGTGTTGTACATCAGCTGTTGCAGAGCTGACTCGCCGCTTGCTCCCCCCGTTCACAGGCAGCAGTGTGTAGACACATAGAGTGTGCAAACAGAAGAGGTGTTTTAACATTGTAACGGTGTCATGTAAACTGAATAATGGAACTGTAATACATTTGTGTAAAAATTAGTGAGGGCTTTTTTTGCTTCAGAATAGGACATCAGGAACCAGGCTCAGTTTAGTCTGTCTGTCAGTCAGCCAAATGTTGCTGCTTCAATGCATGGTAAGGCTGAGTCATGGCACATATAGGTATTATTATAATATTAGCAATTCTGATTGCAAAGCTGCTGCTCAGTTCTGTTTTTTTGTCCAGTCTTATCTGATTTTTGGTGTATATGAGCCAGAAAATGTACCAAAATACAGAAAGTTAATAGTAAAACCCTCTCTTTCCACCTTATTTCCAGAAGACTTAGACCTCCAGTCATTTGTTAGGACTGTGTAAACATCACAACAGCTGATTCTGCACATCTCCTGTAGCTATGGACTGTTCTTGTTAGTGCTGTTTGTTTGTTAGCTGGATATCCCAAAAATGTGTCATCAGATTTCAATTAAATGTGGTGGAATGTTAGGCAGTGGTCCACAGATTGGTCCAAGGGAAAGTTGTGGGACAAGGTAAAATATTCTTTATTTTCTTATTAAGTACAGCCTCAACTTGAAAGACAGAAATCTGGCACATGTACGCCATGATTGTCTATCAATCCATCGATTCAGTCAACAGATTTTTAAAACATTCTTTCATTACTGAAATGACAAATGAGGATTATTCAGCCTTGTTGCAGGTATGTGCTCTGTAAGTGCTTTCTAGTTTGTGTATTTGTTTCTAGGCTTACTAAAATAAAATAAAAACACTAAAGTGAGTTGCGGCTGTGTCTTGCCATATGTCATCATGCACATTTCCTGCCAAATCATGGTCTTGGACACATGGAACACATACAGAGCCATACATTTGTAGAAACAATTTACAAGCTTATGGTCTAATTTTTTAACAGTACAGAGTCAAAGCTTATTTTACCGTGGTGTACTGAGGTAAATATTCCGTATTTAGGGCCCTCAAGATTGTAGAATTTCTAAATCTCTGCACATACAGAAACTCATCTGATGGTTTTTATCAGCACATTGTGAAGTGCATTGCGCTGTTTACTGAGGCTTTTGCACTGATTTGCTTTGATTTGATCAGAAAGTTTTCAACTGACAGAAAGGTGCAAAGTTTGAGAAGAGACTGGATACAAGTGAGACATTAAAATGTTATGAAATCCACACAACAACACTGGTGGATCACTCTCTTGATTCATGAATTTTTACTAGCCTTGGCTGGTTGGCCTTGGCGAGTGTATGTTCTCTTTGAGTTCTTAGAGTGTGGGGACTTGTGGTTTCTTTTTTACACTTTAGTGACTAAACCAAGTTCCTGTTTGGTATTCATAAAGCTTGTCTATTTATCTATTCGTCCATCTGTCAAGGATAGGTTTTTACACATTTCTGGGAAAATATTATTTTTTATTTTTGTTTACTATGCTGAAAGTATTAAACATCTTATATTTTTTTAATTTTTTATTTTCAAAAATGGACAACAATCCAGTATTTTCTCCTTTATATGGTTCTTGTAAAATACCGACTACAATGATGGGAGACTAAAGCTCTGACAATCAAAATGTCACATCAAAATCAATTTGTGTTAGACACCCAATGTTGTACTGATCAATGACCAAATATGTCACCAGGCAAACTGCAGCATATCCATCACAGGATATTCTGCACTCGTGCACAGCTTTACCATCACATCGTCTTCAAAAATTGCTACAGCTTGTGAAAAGTGTTATCGCACAAATATCTGATCAACAAATAATTTGTCTGAGCTGCCAGAAAAACTGTTGCAGTTTGTGGTGTTCCGCCCGCCTGTCCAGTTCCCATCAAAGCAGTGTGTTAGAATGATCCCAACCCTTGATCTTCTCCCTTACCTGTATTTACCTGGGGTTGCTGCGGTGACGCCCGAGGTTACCACGGCAACATACTGCAGCAACGACGCAACCTTCTTTCATCTCTGGAGTGAGACAAGGCTTTGCCCTGTCATTCCCATATGTGTGTGTGTGTGT